AAACATTAGAGGGCCTGATCTTGTTTTCCAACGTGCGTAAGTTTGTCTCTTAACACATCATCCCTTGGCACTATTTTTCTTCCTTCAAGGAGAAGAAGTTGTAATCTTTGGTTCCAAATGATCGTTTCAGTAGAGTTCTGTAGCCTGGTCAGTTATCATTTTAAAAGTGACCCTTCATTGTTCGATGCTGCCTGCTAAATCTTCCAGTTCACCTTTTCTTCCTGCCTTGTCTGTACAACTCTTCAAGGCCTTGGCTTCTTTGTAAATCCAGCTTCTTTAACACAATTACTTCTCTCTCTCTCTCTCTCTTTCTCTTACCGTCTTTCTCTCTCTCTCTCTTTCTCTCTCTCTTTCTCTCTTTCTCTCTCTCTCTCTCTGGAGTCCTAAGGTCATTCCTGCAACTGCTCCGGAAGCGTAAACCAGCTTAGAGGGGCAAGAGCCGGCCTCGTTTATTGGCTCCCTTAGAGGAGGAAGCTTCTTCCCGGAGTCTCTCCCTGACTTTTTTCGGAACGCCTACTGGAAACAGCTTCCAGTCTCTGATGTGACACTTGAACGCATAGATAACCTCCTCGTTCCACGCTGGGGTATCCTTTTTTTTTTTTTCCTTCCACAATCACTTGGCCCCCTCAAGTGGGGAAGGGGCTCTGTTCTGAAAGCCACCGAGCGCTTTTGAGCCCTCTTCTTTTCCTTGGCCGCTAAAGCTTTTGGAGGAACGCAGCGAGCGGCTCTTTGCGTGAGAAGTTGACTCGGAGTTCGCCAGGCTTCCCTGCCGGGAAGAGGAGGAGGAGGAGGGGAAGCTACGAAGTGGGGCAGGGCCCTGAGCCTCCACTCAGCTGGTAATTTCCTCTTCTTCGTAAGCAGCAGCAGGAGCAGCGTGTGGGTCAGACGAAGGCAGGGAGCTGGGGAAGCGAAATGTGGACCGTTGTGGGAGACACCTCTTTGTCATCCTGAATTCCTCGGGGTGGTTTTTTTTTTTTTTCCTGAAGAAACAGAATTAGGATTCCCAACTCACTCGTAGCTTCGTATTCTGTTGGGGCATTGTTTTCTCTACATGTCTTTGCGTTTGGCTCTCTTTGCTCTTGGGTGGGAGGAAGGAGCTTGGTGGTTCAACTTTTGTTTCAAAATCTTTTCCGCTTTCTCTCTCTCGCTCTTTCTGTGTGTGTGTAAGTAATACTGTAAAGCCGGGTCTTAAAAGACACTGATTTTGGATTTAACAGGGGAAATGAGATCTTGGGTATTAATAAAAAGTAAACAATCACTTAGATTTTTTTTTTTTTTTTTGCCAATTTCTATGGGGCCGTTTCCTCCATTTCAATTTATTTACTGAAATTTGTCATGAGGCCGGTGGGGCAGCAGAAAAAAAGGTTTGCCAAAGCGAGTGAAAACCCTGCCCCACCCCAGGCTTCCCGAGATCGCAGCATGCATTTTATTCCTACCGAGGGTTTTTCGAGCTTGCCAACGGAACCTCGAAAAGCAGGTATTTGGATTCCTGTTAAAAACCAAGAAGGAAAATTTCACAGCCTATTGAATTCAGCAGCCCATGCTAACTTCTGGGATGCATCTTTTAAAAATGGGCAAGGAGCATGATTTAATTAGGAAGTCCCCATCATTTTTAGATAAAAGTTTACGTGGCATGGAGATATATATATATATCTTTCCAGGGTTTTTTTTATTTTTAGTATGTTTTAGTATGTTTTTTTTATTTATTTATTTTTAGTATGTGTTGGGGAGAGTAACTAAGGCAGCTGTCCTCAACCCCCTATATGAAGGGAGGGGGGGTTTCATAGAAAGTTTGACTCTAATTTTTGAATTGCTTTGATGGCTCCTTTTTTTTTTTTCATCCAAGGCAAGCAAATTATAATAAAAGTTTAAAGCCTAGGAGTGGGGTTTTTTTCCCCCCAGCATTTTGAGTTCTGCTGAATTAAATAGACAAAGGAAAACAGAAGAGGAATGCGCATGTTACATTAAAAAGGGCAAGGAAAAAGGGTGTAGACTTTTTCATATGAAAGTTGTAATTTAAACAACTGATTGATTAGTCATAAGGTCTGCTCTAGCATTCCACAACTGAATGCCCTCCAGAGGTCTTGGGACCACAATTCCCAGAATCCTAAACCGGAATGGACCCCAAAATGGCACCTTCCCTTTCCAGCCAGAATAGTAGTGTTTGAAAATTCTGGCAATTGATATTTGCATATATGGATTATACCAAGAAGGCATTTTTAGAATTTGGGGGCCTTTTCCATCTTTTCCCCCCTACAAGATACCAGGGGTTGAATTTGGGGTTTTTAGTTTGCAAAGCCTCTGTTCTGCCATTGAACCATAATATAGCACAGAGACAGTCCACCCTGCGTGACATCAACCTTAAAGAATTCTCTGGGATACATATTGAAAGGGATTATATAATGCAAATTAGGTTAGGTGATGTTCTTGTGTACTCAGGAGAAATGGAATTTTTCTGCGAAACTCGTAGTAAGACCGGTGCTGGGATGCTGAGTCCATTTTAAATGTGTAGGAATGTTTTGATTACCAAGACGACCCTCTGAATAGCTTCACCAGGTGTGCCATGCATAATTCTCAGATTGTCAACCCAGAGTGTCTATGACTGAAAGAACTGCTAGCTTTTGACTACTTTTAGGGTTTCAAACCCTGAGCCTTCCCAGCTCAGCCTCTTACCTGCTTTTCAGGAGCTGCATGTTTGAGATTTCCTTTGGACATGGTACTAAGCCTGTGTTAAAAAGAACCCCCGATTCCCAATAGAACTACCAAAAAACTCCTTATCTTTCCTTGACAAGTTTCAAACTGAAAGAAAAGAGGTCGTCCTTGACATATGACCATAATTGAGCCCAAAATTTCTGTTGCTAAGTGAGACATCTGTGAAGTGAGTTTTGCCCCGTTTTATGATTTTTTTCTTGCCACCGTTGTTAAGTGGATCACTGCGGTTAACCTAGTAACACGGTTGTTAAGTGGATCTGGCTTCCCCATGGACTTTGCTTGTCAAATTTCTCAAAGAGGAATCACATGACCCCAGGACACTGCAACCGTCATAAATATGAGTCAGTTGCCAAGCGTCTTAATTTTGATCGGATGACCACGGGGATGCTGCAACAGTCGTAAGTGTGAAAAACAGTCGTAAGTCACTTTTTTCAGTGCCGTTGTAACTTTGAACGGTCACTAAATGAACTGTTATAAGTTGAGGACTACATGTATGGTCGGGCCTCGCTTGATTCTGTATTCCCAGAATCTAGTGAGCCACTGTCAAACAAAGAAGGTAACTCTGAGCATTATTCATTTGAACAAAAATTCACAGCCGATTCTCTTCTAATCATAGTTCTGGGACAAAATGGTACATTTAGAACATAGTAGGCTCAATTCCAAGGGACGCGGTGGCTCAGTGGCTAAGACGCTTGTCAGGGTGGCAATTAATCCCATTCTGCTTTTGGGTAATTGCACCTTGATTTAGAGAATGGATTGTGACCTTTCCTTGAAGTATATGTTAAGAAAAATAAACCCGAAGATATATTTTCTAAGAAAAACTCATTTATTTGTTATAAAGAAAATAAAACATCTTACTAGCTAATTAATTACATCTTGGAAAAGCTTTCCCGGCCACCTCTCCTGGCCGGAGAACAAAGAAAGATAGAAGAAAGTGAAAGAATGTGGACATGCGCAGTTAGCTTACTGATAAGAACTTGGCAAGCTATGGTAAGTCTGAAAGTTCAAAAATAAGAGCTCATTTGGTAAATACAAAAACGCAGTGACAACGCTGAGCTTGTCAATCGAAAGGTCGGCAGTTCAGCGGTTTGAATCCCTAGTGCCGTGTAACGGGGTGAGCTCCCGTTACTTGTCCCAACTTCTGCCAACCTAGCAGCTCGAAAGCACGTAAAAAATGCAAGTAGAAAAATAGGAACCACCTTTGGTGGGAAGGGAACAGCGTTCCGTGCGCCTTTGGCCTTGAGTCATGCCGGCCACATGACTACAGAGACATCTTCGGACAGCGCTGACTCTTCGGCTTTGAAACGGAGATGAGCATCGCCCCCTAGAGTCGGGAACAACTAGCATATATGTGTGAGGGGAACCTTTACCTTTACCTTTTAGGTTCAATTCCAGGTCCTGCATGTCAGACAGCCACAAAGGACTGCTGGCAGATGAAATGCAGTACAGTTAGTCTTTGAGTGAACAAGCGTTGGTTTAGCACCCCATTTGAAATTACAACCGTCCTGAAAAAAGTATATTGCAACCGGTCCTCATTCTTACGACTGTTGCTGCATCCCCACGGTCACGTGATTACAATTTGGTCACTTGGCAATCGACATGTAGTTACAATGACTGTAGCATCCCAGGATCCTGCAATCACCCATTTGTGACCTATCCAGCCAGCTTCCCCCTCCTCCAACAATGTCACTAGGGAAAGCCAAGATTTGCTTAACAACCGTGTGATTCGTTTAACAACCATGGCAAAAAAAAAGGTCAGAAAAATCAGGCTTGACTTACCTTAACAACTTCCTTGCTTAGCAGTGTTTAAATCCTGGTCTTAATACCAGTTGTAAGTCGATGCCTACTTGTAAATGCTTGACTATCTAACTAAGCATCATAAAGCGCAATAGAAAACTTCCTGCAATTTGAAATGAGGTTGTGTAGGGCTTCTGTTTTGGGAAGAGGAATCCCAATTCCTTTAAAGAGTTAAAACTGTTTACTTTGGGATCTCAGCTATGAATCAAGAGGAGATAGCTTTTTTTCAGCCATTGGATTTTAAGTAGGCAATCCAGGGGGGGGGGGGGGGGGCGGGGGGGGGACATTAAAAAAATCTATTGTTGATCTCAGGAGCTTGAAACTATGCAGTAAAAAATGATATTCCAGTCTGCAGGGAGCTAGTTTCAAATCAGGTAGCTTGTACTTTATTTCTGCTTTTGCACCATCACTCTATAGCCACTTCCTAGTGTGAGGGGACCAGGATATCCAAAATTCATGTAACTTAAACACCTTCTTTGTCTTCTTGGTAGGTTCCTTGACTTTCGATCAGCCTGCCAAAAGAATTATACGGTTCTTCCTTCAGAACTCATGAACATCCGGAGCAGGTAGGTACACCTATATATAATCTGTGTGTATGTGTGTGTGTTAGCACCTGTTGGAGCATACGCAGCTGTTGCGTTAATGGCAGTTAAACTGGGATCTCCCACCTTCAAAGATAATCTAATGTTCATTGCCACCAGTTGTCGGGAGTAAACTAAAATGAAAAGGTATTTTTGTCATGATTTGCTTTGTGTCCTCATAAGAAATATTTGCCCCTCTGTAGCAGGCAGCAGAATACTGGCCTTAAAACGGCCCTGTCTGTTACTCAGGCTACCCTTATGCTAAATTAACAGCTCTCCTTGCAGCATTCAAAATTCATAGGAAGAAGAATCCCCAGTACCGCATTTGATTTCCCAGGTCCCATACCCCTTGCTTCTGTATAGCCCCCGTTTCCTGCGTGATGAAATGCGTTGCTAAGTGAAACCGTGCTAAAACTTAAAGTTGTTGATAGTGATTTGACCTATGCTAGAAATTAGCACTCTACTAGGGAAGGCCCAGATTCTCTCATTACTAAAACGTAACTTACCCCCACCTCCATCCCATCTGTATACTGGTTCTTTAAATATCTTATTTAACGTGTGCAGTTCTGCTTTTATGATGTAAACTGCTTGCCCACAGTCACCTAACCGTGAGGTGGGCAGCATATAAATGTAATCAATAAATACATTTAATAAATAAAATAACTGATGCTGGGGTTATACAATTAATTATATGGTTTATCATCCCACACATTGATATACCAGCACAACTGGGGTTGAAACTTCCCTTGTTGGATACTGCCTTAATTCCAAAGTGGTTTTTTTATATGCAAACATGGTTTAAGAGTACTGGTTGAGCCTGTGGAGTTAAGGGCAGTGTAGTGCCTATCTTGGTCTCTCCCAACCTCGACATATGCATGTGCTTCAGAGTATCCCCAAATCTTCACATTTCTGGGTACTATTTAATTTTGTTTAGCATTGCATCCTGGAGGCATGGAACAGGTTACTTAGAAGTGACATAGCAACTCTAATTTAATGCAGCCTTCTATAATTTACCATGCTCTTCTTTCATCATGGCTGAGGTCTGGCAGTGGAAATGTTTTCAGGTGGGGTTTAAACATGGAAATTTATAAGAATATAAACCAATTTGCTAATGGTATGATTAGCTACCAGTAGTAAGCTTTCTTTCTTTGCTGTTTGAAGCCTGGTGCATAGATACCCTTAACCAGTTTGTAAATCTTTTCAGACTTTGTTTATGAGCTCGGGGTCTCCAGTTTCTCCAACGGCAGGGAAATTTGCTAAGGCTTTAAGTTCAAAGATGTTTGGAAACCGATCCGAATTTCACAAACCGTTTTCGAGATTCAGTGCAGCAGGACTAACCTTCTTTCCATGTGAAACTACGGAAGAAGAGAACAGGAGATGCGCCCGCAGAAAGATTGCAGAATTTTAGAAGGGCTTGGACCACACACGCTTAACCCCTCAAATGTCATGGCTTAAGATGAGAGGGACACAGGGCAGGTTGATCTGGAGTGCCTTTTTGTTGTGGTTGAGTAAGTCAGTCCCACCCAATTTGCACATTTCTACTGTTTAACCGTACCCAAAAGGATTGTTGTTGCAAACAATAAAATGGAATAATTCTAATTTCAACTCGGTAACAGAAGGCCAAGATGAAACCCATAGATAACATTTCAAAGACAGTCTAGGACCGCGATGGCGAACCTATGGCACGCGTGCCAGAATTGGCACGCAGAGCCATCGCCCGTTGCTCTTCCGGGTTCCAGCGCACTGGCCAGTTGGTCTTCACGTGCGCGAGAGCATCGGAAACCGGAAGAGCAGCCACCCGGTGCGCATGCGCGCTCTGGGAAGCTGCTCTTCTGGTTTCCGGCATGCGAATGCACGCCGGCCAATTGGTCTTCACGCGCACATGCGTTCCAGAAACCGGAAGACCAGGTGGCTGGTGCGCGCATGCGCACACTCCCATTTTGGCACTCTGTGCCGAAAAGGTTCGCCAACCCTGGTCTAGGAGCTTCTTCAGCATTGACTAGGTTGACAACCATTGACTGAGAGTCCGGGGTGCTTGGCTAATGCACCCGTGATCAAAATTGCTGCTGTTTTGTTGGTGTGGCTAGGAGACCAATGCAGTGTAGCCTAAATCAACTGGTTGGATGTGGCAATGGCGTGTCCCTTTGTGAGTGCAGAATTGTTCTAATTGCTTGGATGTTCCTGCTTTGGTCTGTGGATTTCCCTGCTATCTTGGCTCGTAGGGAGATGATCTGCAGAGCAGGATGTCCACCACCAGTCTTGACCGTCTCTGGGGGTGTGGATCATAATAGCTGGAGTAAAATTAGGTGGTTTAATTAGATTGGAGCAGAACTAAACAGAAGGATGCACTGTATTATTTGCTGAGCTGGAAGAAATTGAATTTTTAGTATATTGTCATGGTCCTTTTCCTCTCTGGAAAGCATAACATAATTGCTCAGGGGGATGCAGTTGAAAGTCAGGAATAGCCAAGGCTCAGGAAGTCTTTAAGCTGCCATAGAGTACAGGTAGTCCTTGATTTATGACAATGGAGCCCCAAATTTCTGTTGCTAAGTCTTGAGACGGTTGTTCGGTGAATTTTGTCCCATTTTACGATCTTTCATGCCTCTAAAACTTCTGAAACTCCGCTTCAGAAAAACCTTTTTTTTTCTGCCTCTGAAAGCCTCTGAAACAGAGCTTCAGAAAAAAAGCCTCTGAAACTCTGTTTCTGAGGCTTTTTTTCTGAAGCTCTGTTTGGAGGCTTTTTTTCTGAAGCTTCGTTTCTGATGCTTTTTCAGCCTCTGAAACCTCCCTTTGAGAAGCTGTGCGGGGCTACATTCGGAGTATAAGATGCACCCAGATTTTCATCCTCTTTTTTTGGGGGGGGGGAGTGTGTCTTGTACTCCGAAAAATATGGTAATTTTATCCACCTTTACATTTTTATTCCTGTGAGTAGTTGTCGTAGGAGCCCCAGTACACTGCTTTGCCCGGGGACCATAATGCTGTTAAGACGGCCCTGCGTCAACCAGGAAACGTTGGGGGACTCTGCTATAGAGAAACCGGTGCAAGAGAAGAGTTATTCCACTGACATTACCCCTTGGGGGACTAAATACAGCCTCCATGCTACCAAGCATTGTATACCACCGCTGTAATTAGCTGCTGGAGAACAGCAGAAGGAGAGAAAGCTGTTAATTTCATAGACTGCTTATGTGTTTCTTATTAAAAAAAAAACCCACTTTAGGAATCAGGCTGCTGGTCTAGAGAATCCCCCTGAGCTAGGCTAAAACAGTAACTGTAGCTCAAGTTGTGGGATCCCTCAAAAGCAGAGCCTGACAATCAGACCATTGGGGAAGGCTGTACAGGTAGTCCTCGACTTACAACCACAATTAAGCCCAGAATTTTTGGTGTGAATCCTTATGGTTGCTAAGCGGGCTACTATGCGACCTGAATTTATTTTACTATTGTTTTTACAATGGTCATTAAGTCATTGGTCATTTACATGATTACTAAGTAAATGCCAGCATAACCAGTCGGCAGTTTCTGCCATTTTCTGCCAGGGAAACCAGCAAAAAAATGTGACAAATTGTGGCCTTGTGACTGGTTGCAACCTAGCTGCCAAGTGCCCCAAATGCTACCATGTGACTGCTGCGTGTACAGCAGTCATAATTTTGAGGATGGCTCATAAATAGCATTTTTTAAGTCTGTCCTAGCTTCAAACAATGACTAAGTGACTGGTTATTAAAGTGAGGGCTGCCTGTTCTGTGATTTATTTACTTAAGCATGGTGTAGACCATGAATGCAGAATGGGATTCCTCGTTACACTTTAATTTAATTTAATTAATTTAATTAATTCAATTTATATGCTGCCCCTCTCCGAAGACTCAGTAACTTTAAGTCTTGATTACTTGAATTTCAGTAGCAATTGATGCTAGCTAGCTGATACTAGCAAGTTACTTTACAACGGAGTAGGTAGGACATAGGCATAGAAGAGGTCTGCGCATTATATTTTCAGGTGATTTCAACACTTTGCCCCATTTTTCTCTTTTGATGATGAAGCCAAGGGCACAATTGCAATGCTGTTGTGTCCATAATTACTGCATCTCTCAGTAGGATTGACTCATAATCACATGTGGGGAGAGATGGGGCTAGGAAGGTACCCAGCTGTGGCTGAGAACAAACTTAACAGGAAGAAGTAGAAAATGTGAGGTTGGCAATACAGATAGTCCTTGACTTACGACCACAATTGAACCCAAAATTTGTTGCCAAGTGAGAAATTTGTTAAGCGAACCTAGCCCCCTTTCACAACTTTTCGTACCAAATTTGTTAAGCGAATCACTGCCATTGTTAAATTAGTAACACAAATTAATTGAATCTGGCTTCCCCGTTGACTTTGTTTGTCAGAAGGTGACAAAAGGGGATTGCAACCGTCATAAATGTGAATCCGCCGTCAAGCATCTGAACGTAAATCACAGGGCCGTGGGAATTTTGCGACACTCATAAGTGTGAAAAATGATCATAAGTCACTTTTTCCCAGTGCCGTTGTAACCTTAAATGGTCACTAAATGAACTGTTGTAAGTCAAGGACTACCTGTAGTACATTTAAGAGGATTCTCTGGATGTCCTCATCCATCACAAATTAAATGCGAGCCAGCAGCGTGATGCAACTGCAAAAAAGGCAAATATTGTTGGGGTGCATCAGCAAAAATACAGAGTTCAAATCATGGAAATAATTGCTTCCATTCTGCTCTGTCCTGGTCAGACCTGGCTTGGAGATGTGTATTCATTTCTGGGCACCACCATTCAAAAAGGGACAGTGAAAAAATAGAAGAGGACTACCAAGATCTTTATCTTTATCTTTTATTAGATTTGTATACCGCCCTTCTCCTTTTGGACTCAGGGCGGTGAACAGCCAAAATAAAAACATTTGTACACAAAAGTTAAAATAATTTTTTAAAAATAATTAAATGAAATTTGGCCTATAATTTAAAACATTTCAATTAAAAATAAGT